GTCTGACAGATCTTAGCTGAAAGCAGAGAATATCAGAAAGATGTTTACTTGTGCTTTACTGACTATGCAAAGGCTTTCGATTGTGTGGAGCATGACAAGCTATGGACAATATTGCAAAGTATGAGTATTCCAGAACACTTAATTGTGCTCATGAGGAATCTATACCTGGACCAAGACCAAAATGGATGTCAGGAGAGACTCTGAGACTTACTCTTTAATATAGATTAACTAAAGCAACTGATGAGTTGCATTTGAGTTTTGATGTTGGAGAAGAATATTGAAGGTACAATGGACTACCAGAAGAACAAAAAGATCTGTGTTGGAAGAAGTACAGCTGGAGCGCTCCTTAGAAATCAGGGTAATGAGGTTTGGTCTTTCATACTTTGGACATGTTATCAGGAAGGACCAGTTCCTGGAAGACATTGTGCTTATTAAAGTGGAAGATCAGTGAAAAAGAGGAAGACCCCAACAAGATGGATTGAAACAGTGGCAGCAGCAATGGGCTCAACCATAACAATGATGAGGATTGTACAGGACCTGAGAGTGTTTTGTTTTGTTATTCATAGAGTTGCTATATGAGTTGGAATCAACTCAATGGCACCGAACAATAACAACAACAAAATGGTGATGTAAAATTGTTGAACAGAAAATTTCAAAGGGCAACTCAAAAAGGCAAAGTAAAGTATTAAAATGAAATATGCAAAAGATCTGGAGTTAGAAAGCCAAAGGGAAGAACATGCTAATTATTTCAAAAGGTGAAAAAAAACTGAAGAAAAATTCAAGCCTCAAGTTTCAATATTGAAAGATTCTATGGACATAATATTGAAGGTGCTAGAAGTATCAAATGAAAATGGAAGGAATACACAAAGTTACTGGTCCAAAAGAAAACTTGTCAAAGTTCAGTCATTTCAAGAGGTAACCTATGGTTAAGAACCAATGGTATACAAGGGAAAAGTCCAATAAAGGCATTGGTAAAAAACAAGATTCTAGGAATGGTAGGAATACCAATCTCAACTAATCAGTGCAGCACTGGAAACACTCACTCATCTATGCCAAGAAATCTGGAAGACAGCTACCAGGTCAACCAACTAGAACAGATCCATATTTGTGCCCATTCCAAAGAAAGATGACCCAATAGAATATGGAAATTGTCGAACAATATCATTAATATCACATGCAAGTAAAGTTTTGCTGAAGATAGTTCAAAAATGGTTGCAGCAGTACACCTACTGGGAGCTTCCAGAAATTCAAGTTGGATCCAGAAGAGAACATGGAACTAGGGAAATCATTGCTAACATCAAATGGATCTTTGCTGAAAGCAGAAAATACCAGAAAGAAGTTTATTTTTGTTTTGTTGACCATGCAAAAGCATTCGACTATGTGGGTCATAACAAACTACGGATAATAATGTGAAGAATGTGAACTTCAGAACACTTAATTGACTTCATACAACAAGCACTGGACTGTGAACTACAAGGTCCATGGTTCGAGCCTGCCAGCCGCTCCATGGAAGAAAGATGAGGCTTTCTACTAACGTCAAGATTTTTAAAAGCCTTGGAAACCCTACACAGGGTTGCTTTGAGTTGGAACCTATATATTGTGCTCATGTGAAACCTGAATAAGGAGGTATGTTGTTATTGTTAATACGGTCGAGTCAGTTCCGACTCATAGTGACCCTGTATAGGGTTTCCGAGGAGTAGCTGATGAGCTTGAACCACAGACCTTATGATGCAAACTAACCTTGCAGGCCAGTGCATTAACCCAATATAGCATGGTTTGCAATCTGGAGAAGTGTGTATCAGGGTTGTATCCTTTCACCATACATATTCTATATGCCTGGTGAGCAAATGATCAGAGAAGTTGAACTACATGAAGAAGCATGCAGCATCAGGATTGGAAATAGACTCATTAACAACTTGAGATAGGCAGATGATACAATCTTGCTTGCTGAAAAGAAGACGACTTGAAACACTATTGAAGATCGAAGACTACAGCCTTCAGTACAGATTACAACTCAATGTAAAGGTAACAAAAATTCTCACAAATGGACCAATAAGCAGCATCCTGATAAATGGAGAAAAGATGAAAGTTGTCAAGGATTTATTTTACTTGGATCCACAATCAATGCTCTTGGAAGCAGTAATCAAGAAATCAAAGGACTTATTACATTGTGTAAATCTACTTAAAAAAAAACTTCTAAAAATGTTTTAAAAGAGCAAAGATGTCAAACTGAGGACGAAGGTACACCTAACCCAAGTCATCATATTTTCCATAGCCTCATATGCATGTGAAAGTTGGAGAATGAATAAGGAACTCAAGAGAAGAATTAATGCATTTGAATTGTGGTGGCAAAGAATACTGAAATTATCATAAACTGCCAGATCTGTCGTGGAAGATGTATTGCCAGAACACTCCCTTAGATGCAAGGATGGCGAGACTTTGTTTCATATACTTTGAACATTTTATCAGGAGGGACAGATCCCTGAAGAAGGACATTATGCTTAATAAAGTAAAGGGTAAATAAAAAACAGGACAACCCTCAATGAGATGGAACTGACACAGTGGCTACAACAATGGGTTTAACATAACAATTGTGAAGATGGCGGCGCAGGATTGGACAGTGTTCCATTCTGTTGTACATAGAGTCACTTTGAGTTGGAACCAATTCAATGACCCATAACAACCATAAAAACATCTTATAGCTATCTGACAACAATTGGTTTTTCTTGGGTTATTCTACATGTAGAATGCCCAACAAAAGCCTATGATTCTCCCCACTTAGTGATCTCGGAATCTTTCCCTGAAAAAGCCTGGGGATGACGAATCTTCTGCTCAGATGGGGTTGGGCAACTGTCCAGACCATCACCTGGTGGAGCTTCAATGGAATCACAACCAGCAGTTCATTCAGCCTCTGCTGCTTCTCTCGATGATATGCCTCCAGGGCCTCCTCCGCTGCATTCAGATTATTTGCCACAATTTTTACCTGTAGAAAACTCATGTGTGAAATGTTGAAAAGAAAATTTCAATGAACTTACACCTAAAGTGGTGACTAGGGCATCTTTGAGGGAAGTAAAAGGATGGGCAGGGTCTGTTTTGTTGGATTGTGATTAGATAGCTGTTTTCTACTTGCTAAGAGATGGTCCACAGCACTTTTTGTATCATTCCTATATCCCCAGATTGATCAAAGTTTTGTGGATAGGAGCTCGGAAACATTCTCTCCCTGGCCTTTTATTTTCTGCTTGAACAACAGCCCTCAGGAATAAAATTTCTTTGCCAGAATGATTAGAATTTTGTTTGACTATAAGACCTAAATAAGCTCAAGGAGAAAGCCTTTGAAAGTAAGGAAACTACTGACTATCATAGATTAAGACATCTCCTAAAAAACCTGGAGGTTTCCCCAAATATTTCCAATTTACAACAGGAAAAATAATCCAGCAAATATATTTCTAAATATGAATGTCAAGTGATGGCATTCATGGCAAAAGTGACTAAGAAGGAAATGAGCATGTTAAGACACAAATTCTTCAACATAATTTTACTAGAAGCTTAAACAATGGTCTTCAGAATAGGATGCATGCACCCCAGGGAGTTAAAAAAAAAACACAAAATCTATTGTGGAGCAAGAAGGAAGTATCCAAATTTTGAATTCTTTTTTATTTCATTCTTTTTAATATCCTTTTTTGGGACTGTCTCACAATGTACAAAATATATTGTACAAGAGCTCACTGAAAAAATTTATAAAGAAATATACATTTCTTTGGGATGGGGAAACAATTTTACTTGTATAATTATATGTCATCAAAAAAGTTTGGAGACCAATGACTTATTAAAAAGAAAGTCTAGTCATCATCAAAAGAGCAATGGTCCCCACAACGATAACGCTGGAGGAGGAAACATTGGGTGTAACATCTGAACTGTTTCTTCTCTGGGGAGAACTCCTAACAGATGATTTTGCTATGGCATGACAATATTGTAACTTGGCGGATGTCAGAGAGAAGAAAATAAAGCAGGCAGATCACCTTACTTTTTTGGACAGTGCATCATATTCCTTCTTGAGATTATCAATATGTTTCTTTTCGTCAACTAATGCCTCCTCGATGTCCAGCCTTTTCTCTCGAAGTTGAAGGGCCAGTTCAAAAAGAGATGCATCACAATCTAAAAAGACAGTCACACAGACACACACATAAAGAAGAAACTCGATTTGTTATGGAATTCAGTAGCACTGGAAATGTAGACTTCAGAGCTATGGAATTAATAAAGCCCACTTGTGGATCCACAACATTTATGGCTTCATTGTTTCAAGAGGAAACTACTAATAGTTTTAATAATCACAATAGCAATTGAGTTACTAACATCTATGATCTGAGTCAGGCTTTATATATATTAACTCAGTCAACGCTCACAGAACTGCGAGGTAGAAGCTATTGCTTCCATTTTATAGGTGAAGGCCCTACACCTCAGAGAGGTCTGTACTATCTAGTACAAAACAGAACGGTATTACGGTATTCTGCATTATTTCCACTGTATCCCATTAAGATCTACATTTATTCATCAAGTTACAGATAAAAGAATGTAAACATATCAAGGGTCCTATAATGGAAATTAAGAAGCTCCAGTAGCATAGTGATTACGAGTCAGGCTGCTGACCTCAAGATCAGCAGTTCAAAACTACCAGCTGTTCCACTGGAGAAAGATGAGGCCTTCTGCTCCTGTAAAGGTTTACAGCCTCGGAAACCCTGTACAGTGTTGCTGTGAGTCAGAACTGACTCCACAGCACACAACCACTACAGTGGAAGTTAAAAACCCTAGTTTCAGACCTAATTCTACTACTAAGCTAACTGAGACACTGTTCAATTATTTTACTCCACAGTAAAATAATGATTTGTAGTACAAGTTTTTCTAGCTCTCTTCCACTCAAAAATATTATAATTTTAAGAAGACTCTTGGTTCCAAAAATCTACTGGTTGAAACTTTCTATGAGATGTCTAGTGAAACAAATCTCAGACCAAACTGAATGCTTTTTGTTTTGTTTTGTTTTTTTCTACTGAATCATTCAGCTAATGAGACTGTAAGAATATTGTCTGCTTGCCCCATATTAGTTTCACTGAAAACAATAAACATAAAATTGCCAAATGTCTCCAGAAAACTTGGCAAATTGCCCCTACCAAACAGATTGGAAATACTAAAGATTAAATAGGTTTGACAAAAAGGTGGAATCTTTTAAGAAAAGGCAAAGTTACAATCTGGTGTTTCTCCACAAATTAAGACTTGCCGGATTATTTATATCGACTCTGAATCAATTGGGAAGAGCGCAGGCAGCACAGTGCTCAAAAAGATCACCGTCTACTCTGTCCTATTGGGTCACTAGGAGTCATAATTGACTCAAAGGCAACAGGTTTTGAATCAGCTGATGATTGTCTAGGCATCATTTTGTTACCCGTAAGTGGCTGTCTACAGGAAGAGATAACAGACATCCAGAAAACCCTAAAATAATTCACTTCAGTTCAGGTAAGGACAAAGAAGTTGGTGATCAATTGCTGTTAGGACTGACTGTGAGGGTTGGAAATGTAAAGGTAGATGTTTTATAGCAAGGAGGGGAGTGATTAACTTTGCAGTCTAGTAATGGAGTTTCCTGGGACCATTAAGGGAGAAGAACGGAGAGCAGGACCCTACCCAGAAAAGCAGTGACGCCAGAGATGGAGGCAAAGACGATGACGTGGAGAGATGGAGCAGCTGGGGACTCAAGACTCAGAGAAGTACAGGGTCTGTGTGCTGATGACAGAGGAGCAGGCTTGCAGGCTATGGTTGGTTGGTGATGCATGGAGGGGATTGTAACCATAGGATGAATGTAAAGCTAATGTTCTCGCATGTAAACTATCACAGAATTCACAATAAAACATTTTAAAAAAAGAGAAGTTGGTGATCTGCTTAAGCACTGGGCCACTAGGATTCCTTATGTAAAGATTATAGTCAAGGGCAGTTCTACTCTGTAACACGGGTCAGTATGAGTTAAAATCAACTTAATAGCTCCCAACAACAACATACTTCAAACATCTCAAATCACTCTACTTAATTTATGAGAGAATGGTGGTGGTGGTGGTGGTTGTGTGCCGTGGAGTTGGTTCCAACTCATAGCAACCCTGTACAGTGTTTCCAAGGCTGTCAATCTTTATGGGAGCAGAAAGCCTCATCTTTCTCCGGCGGAACAGCTGGTAGTTTTGAACTGCTGACCTTGCGGTTTGCAGCCCAATTCGTAACCACTACGCTACCAGAGTTCCTTTATGAGAGACTAGAGAAACATAAAAAGGATATAACTGTTGCTCCACATTCACACTTCATAAAGAGCCCATGGTTTTATCTAACTTACTCGTTGGGCAGATTGAATCATCAAAAACCTCAGCTTCTGAACCAGACTCATCCTCATCACTCTCCAAGCTGGATTCGTCTTCACTTGATTCTTCACTCTCCTCATCTTCATCTAAGGAGAGAGGCGAACACTGTTACCAAACAACGAAGTTCCTGTGTCAAACTAAATTGCAGGTATCCAAAGTAATTTTCAATGAGTTAGTCACTAGAAAAATACCAAAGAGATAAAAAGCAAGAAGTTACTCAGTATTTTCAGGATATTTGAAAATGGTTAAAGCACAGAGACCATAAACTCAGATGCTTGCAGAGGGCTTAGCAGCCATTACCAGTGCATCAAGTCAAAGGGGAGTTGAGAGTAGTCTGCTGCACTGCTTGTGCTGATCTCCCTGACACACATGGTTATGCACAATTATTAACCACCAAAAATAGAAAAGATAGCCATAACTTATTTGAAGTGGGAAAAAAAATCCAGATTCATTGATATCAAGTCAATTCCAACTCATAGCAAACCTATAGAGTAGAGAAAAAAATAACTCTTTAGGTTTCTAACTCTGTAAATTTGATGGATTGAACTGTCTACCTTTCAATTAGTGGTCAAGTACTTAATCACTAAGCTGCTCTGGTAGGGTAGTGGTTATGAGTTGGGCTGCTAATCTCACAGTCAGAAGTTTGAAATTACCAGAGGTTCCATGGCAGAAAGAAGTGGCTTTCTGCTTCTGTAAAGATTTACAGCCTTGGAAACCCTATTCAGGATCACTATGAGTCGGAACCGACTCCATGACACATAACCACTAACCACTTAACCGCTATGCTACCAGGCACTCCTTATCTGACATAACTATTTAGTCTATATGCAAACTTGTCTGGTGGCAAGGTTGTTAAGTACTCAATCGCTAACTGAAAAGTAAATGGTCTGATGGCAGCCATTCAAGGGAGAAAGATGTGGCAGTCTGTTTGAAATTCTACTCTGTCCTATAGGGTTGCTGTGAGTGAGTCAGAATATCAACTTTAACAGCAACGGGTTTATTGGTGAGCTTACTTAGATTATTCATTCTCTGCTATAGGAAGATTACTTTTCTGTTAGGTGACACTGAGTCTATTCCAACTTGTGGCAACCTCTTGAGACATAATAGTGCTGTCCCACTGTTGTTTTTTGGTGATAATCTTTTCAAAAGCAGATCAAGTCATTCTGCCATAGAGACATGGGGTGGGTTCAAACCACCAACCTTTCTGTTAGCAACACAGTGCTTAACTTTTGTATCACTGCAGCTCCTTTGAAATATTACAGTTATTTTATTTTTGGGTAGTGTAGCAGACTGCAAGGAAATCTGGTAGTGTAATGGTTACAAATTGGGATGCAAACCTCAAGGTCAGTAGTTGGAAACTACCAGCTGTTCAATGGGAGAAAGTTGAGGCTTTCTGCTCCCGTAAAGATTTACATCCTTGGAAACCCTGTACAGGGTTGCTATGAGTCAGAACCGACTCCACGGCATATAACCACCACCACCACCATAGCAGACTCCATTGGGAGTGATATATATGTTGTTGTTGTTATTGTTGTTCTTATGTGCAGTGGAATGGGTTCCAACTCATAGCAACCCTGTATAGGGTTTCCGAGGCTGTAAATCTTTGTTGTTGTTGTGTGCCATGGAGTCAGTTCCGACTCATAGCAACCCTGTACAGGGTTTCTGAGGCTGTAAATCTTTACGGGAGCAGAAAGCCTCATCTTTCTCCTGCGGAACAGCTGGTAGTTTCGAACTGCTTACCCTGAGGTTAGCAGTCCTATTCATAACCACTACACTACCAGAGCTCATATTTTATAAAATCCAAACTTTTCAGACTCTTGAAACACATCTGTCTCCAAGGGTTCTGAATAAAGGTTGCAGGCCTTCTCGTCTCAACCTACTCTCCAATTTCTTTTAAAACACCTTGTGGTCATCTAGGAATCAGAGGTCACTAATTTGGAATTTCTGCACTGTAGCAAATTAAAGATGTGAACTTTGCACTATCCAGAAAATTTCTTAAATTTAACATCTTGCAAGGATTTCTGGCAAGATGCTAAAGTAGGCAAATAAGCTATGCAGACCACTACAACAAAGACACAAGAAACCAAAGGAAACAAATATGGATATTATCCTGGAACCCTGCACTTCAAAGGACAGGATAAAGAAGTGGACTGAATACTGACTAGAAGAAGCAGCTGAACAAAACCAGCAAACAAGGAGGCAAATGGAACAGTGAATTGTCAACTAGCCTGACAGTGTGGCCATTTTGAATTTTAAGAGCATTTGACAAAATTCAACACCCATTCCTCACTAAAACAAAAACACTCAACAAAGTAAAAATAGAAGGGAAATTTCTCAACAAAACTACAAGTGTCCTGGTAGTGCAGTGGGTTAAGCACTAGACTGCTGACAGAAATGTTGATGTTTTGAAGCCACTATAACATACACTTCAGGAGAAAGATTTACATCCTCAGAAACCCCATGCAGGGTCGCAATGTGTTGGAACCAACTCCACAGCACCACACCACCACCATAGGGTCTCTAGGCATCCTGATGTGGCACTGTGGGTTAATGCACTGTAATACAATGTCAGTTTGAACTGCAAGGTGGGTGGTTCAAGCTCACCAGTCACTCCTTGGAAACCCTATAAAGGGTTGCTATTCATCAGAACTGATTCAACAGCCATTAAAAAAACAACAAAGAGTCCCTATGAAGTAATTTGGTTTTGGTCAGGGTATACAAATCTAACAGTCAATATTAATCTCAGCAGAGAGAGACCAAAAGCATTTTCCTTATGAACAGAGACCAGACAAGGATGCCCTTGTATCACCACTCCTATTCAGCATTGTATTGGAGATCTTAGCCAGAGCAATAAGGTAAGACAGGGAAATAGAAGGCTTTCAAATTAGCAAAGAAGAAGTAAAACTATCTCTGTTTGCAGATGATATGATCTTAGGAAATCTCAAAGACTCAGAAGACAGTTAAAATAACTAATTAAAAGTTTCAACAAGGCAGCAGAGTACAAGATCACCATTGAAAAATAAGTTTGACGCCTTTACTGTAACAAAGTGAACTCTGAAAAGGAAATTAGGAAAACAGTACCATTTATAACAGGCACCCTAAAAATGACATACTTGGGAATAAATCTAAGCAGAGGTGAAGACTTATACAATGAACACTACAAAACCACTTCTACAAGAAACCAAAAGAGACCACATAAATGGTAGAATATACAATTCTCAAAAATAATGAAGGCAAAGGAGAAAACTGGGATGTATCCAGAGATAACTGCTGCTATATACACAGTCCTGTAATGACAATAATCTTCAAATGGATGCACAAATAGTCATGCAAGCTGAGCAGGTGTGAGAAGGATAATGAGACTATACCCATGAATATACTTCATTGTTATTAAGTGCCATCGAGTCTATTCTGACTCATAGTGACCCTGTATACAGTTTCTGAGGAGCAGCTGGTGGGTTTGAACTGCCGACCTTGTATATATGTTTGACAGAGAGTATTGCTACCAATTTATTTACCTTTGCTGAAAATATATACATAACTATAGTAGAGCAGGAGTCCTGATGTGGCGCTGTGGGTTAATGCACTGGACTGAAAGTTTGTTTGAACCACAAGGTCAGTGGTTCAAACTCACCAGTCACTCCTCAGAAATACTATACAGGGTTGCTAAGGTTCAGAACTGACTAGATGGCACTTAACAACATAGTAGAGCAGGAATCCTGGTATGGTGTTGTAGGATAAACACTAACCACAAGGTTGGTGGTTCAAACCCACCAGATACTCCTTGGAAACCCTATTTAGGGCCACTGTGAGTCAGAACCAACTCAATGGCACTTAACAACTAAACTGGGATGTATCCAGAGGTAACTGCTGCTATATACACAGTCCTGTAATAACAATCATCTTCAAGTGGTTGCATAATAGACCTTACAGGGAGCAAAGTTATGAAAACTCTTTAGCCATACCAAACACCTTGAGGAAATGAAGTGCTGGGCCTAGGGGTGCACCAAGGTCAACTGACATAACATAGTTCTCAAAGACAATCTTCTGAATCCTAGTTTGGTGGCTTAAAAGCAATTGGGGTCTTAAAAGCTTATGAGAAGCCATCTAAGGTACAACTAATAGTATATCTCTATCTGGAGCAAAGAAGCTTGAAGAAGCATGAAGAAACTCAAAGATATATAGAAACAATTAGTCCAATGGATCACGTGAACCTCAGCCTTCATGACCCTGAGAGCAAAAGAACTAGATGGTACCTAATCTGAAAGGGATTATATTAGAAGGTTCTGGATAGAGTGGGAGAAAATGTGGACAAAAGATGAAAACCGTAAAAAGACTAGGCTTACTAGTTAGGTGGAAACTGGTGGAATCTCTGAAACTATGGCCCTTAGTCACCCCCGTTAGGCTTGAAGTGAACTCACCCCTCAGTCACACAATCGAGAGGTGAACACTAACACTGGGGAGGTAGAGACTCCTTCAACAATCAACCAATCAACCACAGGAGAGCAAAAGGACAGCATCTGCCCATGGATAATGCTCAGAAAACATGAAGGGTTAGTAATGAGGGACAGAAACCGGAAACCAGAAAGAGGGAGGACGTGGGATAAATGATACTACGATTGTGGGATTGCAATTAATGACTTGAAACAAAACAGGAATTAATTGTTATATGGAAAATGGATTTGGTCTTTAAACCTTCACCCAATTCATAATAAAAGGTTAAGGAAAAAGATCTGTCTCAAAATTACTTTAAGTGAACTATAGTACATTATGAAGCAACTCAATATATGTTAAAATTAGACTTTAAAATTCATTACATGGACTTCAGTTTCTAGGAAGATGGAGTAGATCTAATTTTCTCCATTCTATTTGCTAAATACAACTAAACCCTAGACAGCACATTAAAAACAAGCAAAATAGACTCTGGAAAGTCAGACTGACTCAAACACTTCAGAAACCAACTCACAGCACTGTGGTGAGCTCCCTGGGCTGCTTCTTGCCTCATATGCTTCAGACTGGAAGATGACGAAGTCAGCAACCTGGAAATGCCACTGGCTACAAAGAAAGTCTCAGCAAAGGGCTGTCTGCTCTAGTCAAAGCACCCGGAAAGGGGCATCACTGTTCAGAAAGGGGCATAAAATGTTCACACAACAACCACTCTGCTATAATCAGTCACCACCGAAAAGCTGTGGTCACTCTCATAACCACAATAGCAAAGGCCAAGTGCAAAGACTAGACATCCAGTGTGGCAAGGCTGTAACAAGTCATCCCAATACCCTCACCAAGGTGCTGTTAAGAAGGTGAGTAGGGAGCTAGAACTATTCATCTGGAGCAGAAGATTGCAATTGAGATCATACAATACAAACCCCAAACCAGACCCAATATTATCTGCTGGGAGCAGTTGAATATAGAGAACGGCTTCACTTCTGCCACTTGACACAGTTCCGGCAGATGGAAAGGTCATCATGCAAGACAGATGGCTCTCAGAAGTCGCTTTCTATCTTCTCTTTAGGGTAATCTTGAATTTACTTGTAAAAATATAATATGGCCATTTTAACAACCTTTCACTATGAGTTCTACAAACCTTAGGAAAAACTGGCTTAGCAACAATTGCTTTCAGCTTTGATGGATTGAATACAAAGAGAATTGTGTAAATTACTCCCTTTCATAGAAAACCTAAGTAACTGCATTTGTAAGACCACAAAAGCAGATAGCAAATTAAAGTCAAGCTTACTTACCCCCATAGACCTCACCTCAATCAGACACTAGCTAGAATTCTTAAACCCCTACATACAGGCACCTGCGTGAACAAGCAGACAATAATGAACTTAAGTGAAGGATAGTTTTGACTTGATAATCTACATTTCCTGCAGCAATTAGTCAGGTTGGGCTTTATGCCACATAGCTTCCAAACAATTTAATGAATACTTTAGAAAAATAAATAAGTAGATGTTAGTATACTTTTATTATGAAAATAATAGTACATTATGTAGGATAGAAGATTGATAATTAGTTAGTAGGAATAATAAGGTAGTGCAAGCATTGATGATTAGTAGAAACTTATGTTACTTAGAAAATATAATCAGCAGTCTGATAAGTAGAAATGATTTGTGTAAAGTTTGACTTAATCTTTTAGTGGAAACAAGAAGAAACAATTTATCACATACTGGGAAAGGAGATGAAAGACAGTTTGAATATCACAGAAATGTTTTTGTCAAAGTTGTCTAATGACCAGGTGCAAGAATGTTGTGATTAACTGTGTAATAATTCAAGAAAAGATCAAAGTGTCAATTCATTATGTACTGTTTAGTTTTAAGTATAAAAATAAAGACTTGCTGAGCAGGGCCAGAGAGAACAACAAGCTAGACAGCACGGACAGCACAGCAGGCTGACTGAGAAAGCCTTTCATTTCTCCGCCGACTCTGCATCTCCTCTCATGTCCCACGACCCCCCACGGAGAGCTGGTCTTCCGCAATTATCAAGTTGATTCCTACTAATAACAACACTATCGCACTGGGTAGAATTCCCAATCAGACTGCCACAGCTTTCTCCTGTGGAGTGGCTGGTTGGTTTGAACCACCTATCTTTGGGTCAGCAGCCAAATGCTTACTCATTGTGCCACCATGGATACTTCTGTGATATACGATAGACCATCTAAAAGCATGGGAGGAAAAGATTTTGAGAAAATTTTTGGGGGAAATTAAGGTATTCAAAAGCACCTGTGTACACTGGGAAATATAAAAAGCCACATGCATGCCATGGACAGATGCATGCTCAGGAAAGATCAAGGAAGATTCCAAAGTTTCACTGTGGCTAATCTATATAGGCTAATGCAAGCATAAGTGAAGGCTGATGCAGAACTGTAGACAGTCTGGCAAAGTGTCAAAGAAGGGCCCCAACACAGAGTCAATGTGCAAAGACTGAGAGCGCTGTTTCTGTTTTTAACACTGATGCCTTTGAGTTGTGGTGTTGGAGGAGAATACTGAAAGTTCCATGGACTGCCAAAAGAACCAATAGATCTGTTTTGGAAAAAGTGCAGCCAGAGTGTTCCTTGGAGGCCAGGATGGCTAAGCTTCGCCTCTCATACTTTGGACATATTGTCCTGAGGAAACAGTTGCTGGAGAAGGATGTCATGCTGTGTAAGGTGGAGGGTCAGAGAAAAAGAGGAAGACCCCTAACGAGATGGATGGCATCATTGATGGACTCAAGTGTGGCAGCGGTAGTGAGGTTGGCCCAGGATTGGACATTGTTTCGTTCTGCTGTGCATGGGGTCACTATGAGTCGGTTCTGACTCGATGGCACCTGACTACAACAACAACAACATTTAAGGGCATCTCAATCAAAACAGACAGCACAAACTAAGTCTTCAACAGTCAGGAACAACAAAACCTAGGGAATGGGAGGAATCTGATTTTGAGAGTTACTACATTATATTTGAATGCCTCATTGTCAACGAAAGTCTCAGATTACCATAATGGATTAAAAAACAAGCCATGAGCCATCTATAGGCCATCTATGAGAGAATCACTTAAGTTACAGACACAAAGAAAGTAAAAGGTTGGGAAAAGGTATTCCACACAAATAGTAATCAAAAGGAAGCTGGGATGGCAATGTTATCATCAGAAAAAATAGACTAAGTAAAAAAGAATTACAAGAGACAAAGAGGACATTGTATATTACGTTAGGATTGATAAAAAGGTTCAATGCAGCAAATGGACAGAATTAAAGCAAACCATATGGGTTTCTTTATTCCCCATGGTACGAACACTGTAGCAGGAAAAAATACACATGAGGAGGCTTCAAAAAGTTCGTAGGAGGCTTCCATTATTTTTTCATTCAGTTTTTCTAGGAATTTTTTAAGCTCCCTCATAGATCTAATATGTGCTTTAGTTATTTCTCTATTTCATGGTAATGAGACTAAATGAAATAATATCTAAAAAAAGGATGCAAACCGCCTTCGCCTTCAACCTCCTTTTTCTTCACCCGTTTAATCTTCTTCTTTAGGACCTTCATAAGGAAGTTAGCAAATTTATTGTTTTCGCCAATGGCTACTTGGAAGCCAGAATAAAGTGCCTTTTCCTGCTCCTGGAGCTTAGTGACTTCATTTTTTTTCTCTTCCATCTCTGTGAGAGTCTCATTTATTTTCCACTAAATGAACAAACCAAAAATAAAATGAAACAAAAAACAAGAACAAATGAGAAATTAAACATATCTGGGAAACTAGGTCAGGGAGCAATATACATTGCAATGCAACGTGATAGCCTACAAACCTTTTTTTTTTTTTTTTTCAAGCTCCTTAATAGAATTTTACCATTTCTGATGTTTGAAGAGTCATCCATTTATTTGATTAAAGCTTTATAATTCTTCTATTTTTAATCAGTTAAATTCAGAATCAGATAAGTTTAAGTTGTTTTATGTGTAACTTCCTTAAAATAATCTAAATTAAATAGTTTTTATTTGATTACTATGACTTCAGCTGATATTTTGTCATGTGTGGTCTTATAAACACAAGTTTTATCCCCCACATTGTTATATTAAAATATATATATATATACATATAATCTTAATGAAATTGATATTCCTAGACACTGATGTGAATATTCAGAATGTGATATCTATTTACTAGATTCCTTATTACTTTAAAACAAAGATAATGTATAACTTTAAATTTAAAATATATATAACAAAGAACCTTCATTTCCTAAGGTATCAATGATATGTTACATTGAAACTAGCTATTTAAGAAAGTTGCTAATTTCTTCTCCACATACGTACATAAGGATTACATATAACCCAAATCCAATTTCATAAAATGGCTGGGAATTTTGAAAATATAAACTTTTGAAGCCCGTAGATCAACTAAATATAAAATTCACTTTTTTTCTTCTTCTTTTTTAATGTAAATTTTTATTGTGAATTGGGTGAAAATTACAGATCAGGTTCCATTCAATAATTCATACACATTTTGTTTCATGTTATTGAATGCAATCCCTTATTCAACTCCCTCCCTGCGTTTCCTGTTGCCAAGCCTTCTTCTTTCCTAACCTTCAGAATTTTATCCTTGAATAAATGCTGCCCTTTTGATCTCAAATGCTTAAACCATCCTATTGTGGGTATACTGACTTAGTGCTATTGTCCCTCTTCTAGATCTGCTCATATTGTAACTGAATATTGATACCTGAATAGTGACTAAGGGACATAGTCTTGGGGGTTCTACAGTCTATCTGACTTGTAAGTAAACCTGAATAAGATTTACTTAAAAAAAATAATAATACTCTCCCTTACCAATCATCAGACCAGATTCACTATAGAAACATGTTTCACTTTTCTCTGGCCAAGAATACCCAAAGACAGAGCAAGCAAGAAAATAAAGTGGGGCAAGAAGACAATAAAGAGATGAGGGCTAGAACAAAGGGGTAAATTAAGAAGCAAAAAGGAAAAGAATTAGGTTTCTTCCATAACCAAGTGTATAGCCATTCATACTTGCATGTCTTGTTCCTCTTTGTCTAATGAATTAACACGCTCTTGAAGAATGTTCTCCTGTTTTTCAAAATTCTTGAGAAGAAGCATTTCTTGAAATAATGTGACATGGTGCAGGTCAGACAATTTTATCTGAGTATCTAGTTTTAACTTCTGATGTCTCAGGATGCGAAGTTCTGCATCAAAAGTGACAATCAATTCTTTGATCTGCGATGGGAAAAGATTTGAGAATAGAAGTTAATAAGAGGCAAACTTATTTTTTAAACTAACGGTACTAATTTATGTGAAACTTATTATTTTCTCATTCTGCCTTCATTATGGATGGAGAAGTGTATGTGTGATCATATAAATGAATTCATTAATGTTATTAAATTTATATAAATGAAATTATTAAGTGGTAGGAGCTCTGTAGCACATTCCCTCCTATATGTTAGCTAATGATTAAACTATCAGGCATGACTACCCTTCTCACAGTTGTTGCTATTGTTAGGTGCTGTCCAGTCAGTTCCGACTCATAATCACCCTATGCACAACTGAAGAAAACACTGCCCGATCCTGCACCATTCTCACGATCGTTATGCGTGAGCCCATTACTAGTGCCCTGTGCCAATCCATCTTGTTGGGGGTCTTACTCTTTTTTTCTGACCCTCCACTTTACCAAGCATAATGTACTTCTCCGGGGATTGGTCCCTCTTGATAATAAGTCCAAAGTATGAGAGATGAAATTTCGCCATCCTTGCCTCAAGAAGCATTCTGGCTGTTACCTCTTCCAACACAGATTTGTTTGTTCCTCTGGCAGTCCATGGCACCCTAATATTGTTCTCCAACACCATAACTCAAATACAGCAATTCTCCTAAGGTCTTCCTTAGTCATTGTCCAACTTTCACATGCATTTGAGGTTATTAAAAATACCATGGCTTGGGTCAAGAGCACCTTAGTCCACAAACTGAAATTTTTGCTCTTTAACATTGTAGTCTTGTCAGATTTACCCAGTGCAATACATCATTTAATTTCTTGACTGCTGCTTCCATGAACGTTGAATTGTGGATCCAAGAAAATGATGTCTTTCACAACTTCAATCTTTTCTCCATTTATCATGATGGTCCAGTGGTGAGGAGTTTTGTTTTCTTTATATTGAGGTGCAATGCACACTGAAGGCTGTGGCTTTGGTTTTCATCAGTACATATTTTAAGTCCTCTTCATTTTCAGCAAGCAATGTTATATCACAAGTTAGTAATGAGTCTTCTTCTAATCTTGATGGTACATTCTTCTTCATATAATCCAGTATCTCAGATTATTTGATCAGCATACAGAATGAATAAGTATGGTGAAAGAATACAACCCTGGAACACACCTTTATTGATTTTATACCATTCAGTATCTGCTTATTTTGTTCAAATGACTATCTCTTGGTCTATGTAGGTTCCTCATGAGCACAATCAAGTGTTCTGGAACACACATTCTTTGCAGTATTATGATACACATATGATACACATAGTTGAAAGCCTTTGTATAGTCAAATAAAGCACAAGTAAATATCTTTCTGATATTTTCTGTTTTTCATCCATGATCCTCTTCTGAATCCAGTTTGAGTTCCTGGCTATTCTCTGTAATTGTTACAGGCATTTTTAAAATTATCTTCAGCACAATTTTACTTTCATGCAATATTAATCATATTGTCGGATGATTTCCACATTTCGTTGGGCCACTTCTCTTTGGAATGAGCATAAATATGCATCTCTTTCAGTCGGTTGTCCAGGTAGCTGTCTTCCAAATTTCTTGGCATAGATGAAAATCTCCAATGCTACATCAACTTTTTGGTAGATTTCAGTTTTTATTCTTTCAATTCCTGTAGTCTTGTTTTTTCCCAAGAAGTGCAGCTTGGACTTCTTCCTTTAGTACTATCAATTCTTGATCATATACTATCTCTTAAAATGTTTGAAAATTGACCATTTCTTTTTGGTACAGTGACTCTATGTATACCTTCCATCTTCTTTTGATACCTTCTCCATCATTTAATACTTTGCCCTTGGAATGCTTCAATATTGTAAGTTGAGACTTGAATTTTTTGCAATTCTTTTAGCTTGAGGGTGTTCTTCCTTTTTGGTTTTCTAACTCCAGGTCTTTTGCACATTTCATGGTAATACTTTACTTTGTCATCTTGAACGGCCCTTTGAAATTTCTGTTCAGCTCTCTGACTTCATTTCTTCCATTCACTTTAGCATCTCTACACTGGAGAACAAGTTTCAGAGTCTCTTCTGGCACCCATTTTGGTTTTTTTCTTTCTTCCCGTCTTTTTAATGACCTTTTGCTTTCTTCCTGTATGATATTCTTGACGTCATCCCACAGCTCTCCTGATCTTGGGTCTAATGCATCAAATCTTTAGATCATCTCTAAACTCAGGTGGGATATGTTCATATATTCAAGTCATATTTTGGTTCAAGTGGCCTTGTTTTATTTTTCTTCAGCTTGAGTCTGAACTTGCATATGAGCAATTGATGGTCTGTTTCACAGTCTGCACCTCACCTTATTTTGTATAAATCTCTAAACCTATGCCGAATACAATTACTTTTTAGAAGGTCAGGCATGAGGAACAAGCTGAGCCATCAGTGACAGGTACACAGATCAGAGTTTTGTTTTTGGTTTTTGGTGGGGAGTGAATGCAGTAGAATATAGATAAATAAGAAAACAGTTCTAATTTTCCCCCTGCTCTCCTCTTCTTCAACTTAAAAAAAGAATAGGCTCATCCCTTACCCTGTTGGCCAAATACTGCTGCATGTATAAGTGCTTAACCTCATCCCTCTTTGCAATCTCTATCTCTATATCTGTTGGCTCTGTTTTTTCAAATTCCAAGGACCTTGGAATATCCAGGCTGAACGTGGATGCTTTCGATGATCTAGACAAGGACTCTCGTGTTGTCGAATCCACATCCTTTCCAGAAGAAAGCTTGAGGAGTCTTCCACCAATGCCTACATATCCTGACTGTTCCATATGGGAGTGGTACTTTTCTTCCTGAACTTTCATCTGCTGTCGCTTAAAATCTAGCAGAGTTTCCTCATCGTACTGAAATCTCTTTTCTGGAACTTCTTCAGGGTGTATCTCAGGGATTTGAGGAATAGGGATATGCTGAGATACATGAAGAGTAGACTGGATGCTCCTCAGTTCTTGTACCAGGCACTGTATTTCCTCAATAACAGCCACTTTAAGGTCTCGAAGAGAGAGGATGCTCCTGTTCATTTGCATTTTTTTCCCATGGGCCTGAAAAACATAACAGGAAGGAAGTAAAATTACAGTCTTTTCAGAAAGGAACGTTTGGATTATGATTTATGCTTATTTTTGGAATGATGCAAAAATTCAAGATAAAAATTGATTTGTTCATCCTTGTTCTGACTTTTAGGCTTTGCTCATTTGGACCCTCCAAGAGTGGTGGACCTCTGCTCTTCATGGTGGCATCCGTTCAGCTGACTCATTGGGTTCCCCTGACCTCCTTCTACCACTCCATGTAAGTTCTTCCTGAAGGCTGTACTTAGCTAGATGGTCTACCCAGGAAGAGGAAAGTCATTCTTGGGTCAGAAACACACAAATAACTTCCTCTTCCTGCTGGAATTTAAAATCCCTTTCACTTAGATTTGCCTAGGACTGCCTTCCAGTGGGACTGCATTTTAGCCTATTTTCTTTTGGCCACATCATGATCGCTGTTTTCCCTGTGCAAGCAACATCATCACCCTGAATTCCAGGATCACATTGCACCAAGAGATTCCAGGACCCTTCCTTGATTCAATTTATCTAAGCCAAATTATTCCCTGCACCTCCAACCACAGGAACTATACATGCCCAATTCCTCCCTCATTATTAGTTCTCCCTATGGTCTATGCTCTCTAACTGTCCCTATTAGAGCCTTTAGGCACATGCAACCCTATTCTATGTGCAGTCATGCAACCAGATGGTCCAAAGATGATTAATAATTCCTTTACATTGTTATTAAGTGCTGTAGAGTCAGTTCCGACATATAGCAACCCTGTATAGAGTTTCTGAGGAACAGCTGTTGGGTTTGAACCTCCAACCCTGTGGCTAGTAGTCCAGTGTTTATCCTACAGCAACATACCAGGACACAACATAGATACATAGCTTAAAAAAAGAGAAACTCAAAAAGTACTTCTGTAGGCAATCTTAAAATTACCTATATATTTGATACCTATGAAACAAAATGCTGTTAACAAGATAGAGACATTCTTTACATACTTAAGAACAAACCTTTAAATCAGTAAGGACTTAAATTTTAAAAGCCAGCACTTAAGTGAATAGGAGACTACCTCTGAAACACCTGGAAGATGTAAGATGAGGTCTACAAGAACGAACCTAAACCATCCTGATAGCTGAAAGGCTCTCCTCTTTAGGGAATTGTCTCTACAGTTTAATCCTTTCTTTCTAGATTCTCAGATACCACACAAACAAACATGACAGGTAGGGGTGGGGTGGGGTGTGTGTGTGTGTGTGTGTGTGTGTGTGTGTGTAGATGGGTGGGTAAAATACATTATTTGTACAATGCCTTATACCTTTTTAAACAACTTGAAACTCTTTGTAAAATTTGACCACTACATTAACACTACCTGGTTGATTATCTTATTGTTGTGAATGATTCTATATATCCTTTGCACAGATGCGATAATTGAGAAATTTGCATGATTTGGCAAAGCTCACATGGGTATCAGTAGCAGAGATGGGAGTAGAAATCTGGTCTTCTAATATGCAGAATGTTGTGGTTGTTAAGTGCCATCAAGTTGGTTCTGACTTGCAGCAACCCTGATCTTGTGTTTAGCAGTGATCCTACAGTGCCACATCAGGACTCCAACTTGTAGAATAGTATGTTATATAGTATGTCAGCAAATGGTTAAGTGTTCAACTACCAGCCAGAAGGCAGTTCCAGCCCACCCAGACATTCCTTGGAAGTCAGTCCTGCTGATCTGATTCTAAAAGGTCACAGCATTGAAAACCCTATGGAGCAGTTCTGTTTTGTAGACATGCAGTTACAGGAGCCAGAACTGACTCAACAGTGACCACCAACAAGTTTATTCTGTGCTGCCACATTAATACAGTCGATTTCAGCATCGTGTGATTTAATTTAAGATGCCACACCTACCCATCTTCTCTAGCTAGACTATGAAATTTGGTTATTAAGAATATTTCTTTATGGTAATGGATGGAACATGATGGATAAAACAAGAATTACCTTAGATGAGCTGTTAGACATATAATCCAAACAATCACTAATAATATGTCAAAAATATCCAGAGCAAGGAGTCCTGATGTGGCACTGTGGGATAATGCATTAGATGGCAAAATTGATTTGAACCTCAAGGTTGATGGTTCAAATTCACCAGCCATTTCTTGGAAACAGGGTTGCTGTGAGTCCGAACTGACTTGATGACACTTAACAATAACAGTCCAGTAAAGCAAGATTGTGAGCTATGAAATATATTTATGGACATGAATTACCATATGAGTCCACTGCTGGCTTACACAGTACCTTTGGTAAAATATAAAAAGACACACTTTCCTCAAAATATTACATCTCTATTTGTTAGAAACTTATAAAGTATACTAGTATATTGTACCTGCAGTTATATGGCACCCAGTTTGGTGCCTTGAAATGTACAACCTGAACAGCCACACTTAGGAGACCCTATGCCAAGTTCTCCTAAAAATGATAGCTCAGGATCCTTCCAGGTCTCAAAGTATGAAAAGTCATATGTCGGTTTAAAGAGCAATTAAAGAATCAACATGTAGGGGAGAAAACATTTGGTAAGAAACTGAAGCTCTGAAGTCTTCATTACAAGAAGCAATTTGGAAGACTGTATAGTTCAGAAGGTATATTTGTTGTTGTTGTTAAGTGCC